CAAAGTCATGTGAGGTTTAGGTCATAGTTGTAAAGTACTCTGAAGATGGGAAGTGTTCATATCTCTACAAACACATGTGATTATTTGCAGCAGCTTAACTGGTAGGACTGATTGCTAAAGTACAGTGACTTGTGCCTTTTGAACTTTCATGTCTATATTTTCTTTTTCCTAGAAGCCTTACTATGTGCTTGAAATCCATTTAATCTGTCGGGAGTCTTAAAAACGGGTAGGATTCTAAACATGGCTTTCCCAAATTATCTTTTCATATCTTTCATCAACACTTGAACATTTATACAGTAGGCTGCTTTTGAATTTTCCCCTCTACTCCTGCCTCTATTAAGAATCTAAAAACAAATGTGTTAAAAACCAAGAATGGTTGCTCTCTTTTGAATAGTGCAGCCTGAAACTGTACATTGCTTGTTATTGGTTAGACTTTGATGATCTTTTCATTGAGTCTTGAAGAAATAGCAGATAAGTCATGTCTGAGATTTTAAAAAAGTGTTTAAAGGAGCAATGGTATTTCAGATGCAACTCCAATAATCTTCCTCCAATTTCCCATTTCTTCAATTCCTTATTTCCCCTCACTAGGCAGTCATGCAATTGATTCTTGCAGTTTTATTTACCTTTTATTCAGGAATGTGTACCATATTTTCTCACTTCCGAAACACCCACGAATAAAACACACACCTTGTTTTGGAAGGCAGAATGTAGAAAAGATTTTTTTTCAGAGTAGTGGCTGCCTGCCTGCGTGATAACAAAGTCCTTCTGGGAACCTAGTATGTCCAGGAAGTGTAGCAAAAAGTTCCTGGTGCCATCTGCCTCTCCCAAACTGTTTTCTGGGATACCATATTTCCTATACGTTCTGTTTCCATGAGGATTTACTCTGTCATATATGGTTAGGCTGCAGACACTTGCAAGGACAGTAGGAAGACTGTAGTTCTTTATATATACACATGTTCCTGTAAATAAAGTAGTGTCTCTACATCATAAGCCTCATTAAGATTCTACCAGCAGCTCATTTGCTGCTTCAGGCACAAGTTACGGTCAGGGTTGCCAACCCGAGAACATTTTTTACTAACAGCCAAACTTCTTTACTGATGCATGTTTTTACTGATATATGTTTTATATAATGTAAGTGTATCTCTGCTACCAGGTCCCAGTTAGAAGGGTTCAAATTTATGGATTTAACATCAGCCATAGTAAAATAAATAAATAAATAAATAAATAAAAAGTTTGATTGTCAGTACAGTATAAAGTTTTGCAATAAAATAAAAAAATCATGGGTTGGAAACCCTGCTTGACCACAGCAATTATTTTATATTGTACTGTCCTCCCTCCCCCCACAAGGGCCAGACGCCTGCTACTGAGCCCCACACTACTCAGTCCCCTCTAGTCACCCCCACCTTTACCACTGATAGCCCTGTTCCCCCTGTCCTGGCATGGACCCCCAAAGAAGCCTACCTGTGACCCAGCAATATTTCAAGCAACCTAGGAAGCAGCAGCAAGAGCACATGGTTGAAAGAACATTCTCTGTTGGGTGCTGCGCTCAGACACCAGGTATTGCTACTATGTCTGTGATCGCGTAGTGTTTTTACTGATGAGTAAAGGTTTTGGGTTTTGTTTTGGTTTTTTTTTATAGTCTTTATTGACAGCCATTTTAGTCTTTTTACTGTCAGTAAAAAAACCAAAACAAATAAGTAACCCTGGCTACAGTCCTCAGCCAGTAGCTTTGGCTGTGAAAAGATTAACATGAGACTTTGCCATCTTGGCTGCTGGATGGCATGTAGTGTCTCCAGGCTTCCTGCTTTTCCAGCAAGGAAAAACAGCTTCCCCATTAATATGTGCACACTAATTTTGGGAGGCTGATCTTGAGGGGAAAGGTGCATGTATGTGAGAAAATACAGTACGTTGTAGTATTAGTATTCCTTATGCTCTCCCCAATAATTACACTCTTGTTTCATTATTGGGGAGTTTAAATTACTGGTTCGTAGCTATTCCCATATTGTCACAAAAAGTAAGCCTCTGCTGTCTGAGACTGTAATAAGCATGGTAGTTCACTATAATAATACATTAATAGGATAAAAGGAGTTTTTATAAGTGTTCAGTTTGTCAAACATTTAAATGTAAAGATCTTGGGGGGGGGGTTCTGCTAAATCATGTCCAATTACTTTCTTGCACACAATCTCTAGAATATAGATGTTTCTGACCCTAATTTTTAATATATTGATATGTCAACTGAATGTTCCTTACAAGAAATTTTGTTTCTTAGTCATCTGTCATATACTTCCATTGGTTGACTCTGGATACTTTTCAATGAGTCTAAACACGTTGCTTCTGAATTTAAGCATCCTCAACATAACATCCCATATGATAATGCAATAATACCGAGACATCTCTCTTACCCAACAGCTTAGGAAACGTAAGTCCAATCCCCTTATTGGGTATGGACTTCCCATGAGAGAAGGAAGCAGCCACTAATCTACTTTGGTTAATCTATAAGGTGCAAATTTACTTTGCCTTCTATCGGTTCCTGAGCCAGGATGCCAGGTGAGGAATAGGGAATGGGCTGGAGACAGGGAAGTTTGCAAGGCCCACAGGACCACAGCTACTGACCACATGCACGTACACATACATACCCCTGCAGGCTCCTGCTGTCAGAACCTGCAACTGAAACAAGTGATGCTGCCTGGAAGGGAGAAGTGCTGAGGGGAAGAGGCTACACAGACAGAGAAGGAAGTGGGGCAGAAAGGGAGAGGGATCTTTTATGGGCCATACCTCTGATAGCAGAACACACACACACTGTCCAACATGCTGTACCACAACACAGACACAGTGATGTGTTTGAGCCCATCAGCATACAGCTGCCAAAACAATCTCATACAACCACAGCCCTGTGAAGACTGTTTGCTTTACCTAATTCTACAGCTTGTGAGCATGGTCTTTGCAGCATCAGAATCTAAGGCTGCAAGCAGACAATGATTTTGTGCCACCGTAAAAGTATTTATGGTTATACAAAAGCCAAGTAAACAGATGTCATAGCCCTTTGTTGCTCCACATGTTTAAATTTTGTGGTGGCAATGAACATAGTAATAATTTGTCTCTCCTTTTTGTGGCTGATATCTATATGACTCTCTAGCGTCCGTC